AAATAAGATTAAAAATCATTTAAATAAGATTTAAAATCAATCAAATAATATTTAATAATATTTATATAATAAATAAAATAATTATTAAGTTATTTTAAATTCAATTAAATATTTTTTAATATAATTTCAAAGTTTATAAATAATTTAGTAATTTAAACTATTAATAATTAAATATTTTCGCTTATTGAGGTTAAGTAACTTAAGGATCAAGTTAAGATTAACTTAATAATTAAAGAGTAAATGAATATCATATAATAGATTAGATAGTATAGAAAAGTATATATAATAAGAATATCTTTTACTTCTAATCTTATTTATCATCTCAATACCTTTTACTCGAATAAACAAATTGATTCACCTTTCGAATTAAAATAACAAAGCTTTAATTATTTGCAATCAATCGATTTATTTATTCAATTGCGTTAGGTTTTCAATTGTAAGTCTTTTGAATTTTAAAATCTTTAATTTGATGACTTTATACTAAATGCTTATTATTAAGTATTAAATTAAAAAAAAATTGTTTTTAGCAATTAAGTTTAAAGTAAGTCGTTAACCTTAAGTTTTCAAAGCTTTTAATATTAAAAATGATTGACTTGTTTGTTTAAGGTCGTTTTTTAAATTGAAAATCATTATTTCGGCAACTCAAGACTTGATTTCTAAAGTTTTCAACGTAAGTATTATATTATTTTTTATATATAATATTATAATCTTTTATTTTAACTTTATTTATATATGTATATGCTAATTTAGTTTAAGTTTAAGCGATTTTTCGAAAGGTTATTTTGAATATTGTAAGTCTTATAATTAATTATTTATATTATGTATTAATATATTTAGTATAAAATGGAAGCCCGATATCAGATAATTAATCGATAGAACGAAGCTATGGGCCTTAAGCAAAACAAGCTTATCGTAAGCCGCTTTATAAGTCGAATATTAATATTGATTTACTTTTAATTTAATCGGTTTTAATTTATTATTAGATAAGCGCTTTACTTGCCGATTTAAAACGTTAAAACTTCGAATTTTTAAATTCAATTGCTTTTAATAGATTGAAAATCTTTATCGATAATCATTTATTTAAGCTCGATTTTCTAACTAAGCTAAGCGATTGTATTAGCTTTGCTAGTTATAAGTTAATTGCACGCGCATTACCTTATACTTTAGATTTAGAAGTTGGTAATATCGCTTATATTTCTTAGCAGTCCGAATTACAATATCAAAGGTCTTTTCTTTATCGGAAAGCGCAAGAAGCGAGATTGCTTATTTGAATTAATATTTTGATTCTTATAAAATCTGCTTGTAAGCGAGGGCAAAAGCAAGTTCAATTTAGAATAAGTACTAAAGAAGGCCTTCTTACAATAAGCGAAGTAGAGGATCCAGAAAGAGCTGTGGGAAGCTTATAAAGCTATAATTATTCGCAATTAGGCTATTAAAATTAAAGGTTTGGATATAAGTATCCTTTAGAAATTAGGAGTCCTTAGATTTTTATAAAATATTTTTGTATCAAGCTTTCGTTTATATAAGAACTTAAATTATATAT